GCCGTACATGGGCATTCGGATGAAGATTTACCTGAACACCGAAAGCTTAGTTTTCAAACTTAGCTCTGCTATGGTCACAATGGTTCGGGCTAGTTCACGCTAAACGCCACTCTGTAGCATTATAACATGGTCATGGCTTGAGGCTTGGTTACATTGTCAAGTTGCGTTGGTTTTCTGTATCTGAGTAACTAGAGTTGCTTTGATTTGTGGTCTTCAGTTTCTTTTGATCAAGAATGATGTAAAGCTTGACGTAGTCATCTTCCATAACCGCTTCTCCTTTCCGGTCGCTGAGGCAGACACGTCAGTCAGGTTTGATATTCTATCCGCATCTTAGCAGATACCATATATTCAGCAAGGGTTGCTCATATTCCCTATCATTGCATGAAAAGCTTGGCATTCCAATTTCATATTCCTACTTGCAATTATGAGAAAATAATCTACCCATATTTCATTTATCAGTAGGACCCTATAACATAAACATTCTTGAAATTTTTCTTGCGAGGCAGTTTATAAAGCTAAGATATTCATTCAACACGAGCATGCCCATTCTTGGATCAAGATATGCATATCTGAATAAACGATGCGGGTCGCGAATAGTAAACTGTATATTGCCGTTTCAATCAGCACGTCTATCATTTTGCTGATAATTCGCAATTCTGTTGTGCTGTTTGCGCCAATTATACCCATACCCCCTCGATCTCCTGACATTCTTCGTTGAGGACATGACTATGACATCGAAATTAGCAAAAGCACACCTGAATGATTCACACTTTAAACAGGGCATCTGTGTTTACTGTCAGTGTCAGGGCAGAGTTACGAAACTGTGCCTCTGACTAGAATTTCGTCAGAAGCGATGACGCGTTTGAAGAACGATGCCTTCACCGTGTGTAAGTGGTTCAACCGTTGTTCAACTTTGTCACCCAGAATCATACGGTAACGGCGAAAATAAGTTTCGCAGTTCGCATCGCGGCTTGATCTTCACCTTGTTCTACCCAACAGCTCAATGGTGCGCCATTGCATCCATTCATTGCTAGTGTTCCAAAGCCAAGGAATAGTCCAAACGGGTGCTTAAGCGTGAACCTTAAACGTATCGATGCAACAAGCGGTGCAACGTTGCCGTATAAACCGGTGAAATAAATAGTAGTATAATCATTCCCTACGGTAGTATTGGTGTAAACGAGCAGCACTTTGGTGTAATATATAAAGTTTTTTTGACTCATGGCACTCTTGTGAAAGTCAAGCACGGAACTGCTGGTCGTTGCTTAAAGGTTTATGACCCTGCAGTAGTTCGACATTGCGTTTACCGTACTCACCGTGTTTAGGAACTGGACCGTCCGACCTTAAAACCGGATTAATTCAGGATAAGGTGGTGAAGATTTTGCACATCCACCTCAGCCAGCTTGACTCTGAAGCAAACCTGAGCCAAGTTTTTACGTGGCTGGCATCGCTACAGACAGTTTCCAGCGTCCTGTTACAATGCAAGATGCTGTACGTTCCGTTTCTGTTTTGCCAAGCGGAAAATTCGAAAAAGCCGAAGCTTTCAGCGGAACAGGGTTCGAAAGCGGACGACGTCGTTTCTTCAACTACCTCGCCGAAACTCGGTTTCGACCTGAGCATCTCGTCGCAAAACAACGAACTGGTCAATAGCTCGAGTAGCGATGACCTAACGCTGCCCACCAAATGACCACTAACGATCTCTGCCGGTGGCTCAGCTTTAATGGCGCATCAGAAGCTGTACAAAACGCAGCAGACTTCGAATGAGGGTTACCTAGCAACAGTAAAACTATGATTCGCTACCCTTGTTTCACTGCATGCATATCACTGCAGTGCGTCAATTCTCAGTTCAGTGAACAGATCAGATTTTGTTTACTTTATTTGGTTGATATCTACGTCTACGTTTAGAATACAGCTAGTGTCGTGTGCATTGTTTCGTTATATTTATAGAATCTCTAGTCAATGCTAGTTTGGGCAAATATATTTTTGATCTGGCAAACAGTTGTTTTAGTGGACAGTTCGCTGATATTCAGATTTCGAGTAAATACTTGTTCGTAATGCTTTCATAAAAATTTTCATAATGCTGCGTTAAACTTGCGTTTTCCCTCAGAACTGTACCTCCTCGAATCTCAGCACACGTGTGGAGAGTGTAAGTTGCTGGCTTGCATCTCAAGTGTCACACTTGCAACGAAAATGATCAGTGGTGAATAGACTAGATTTAGGTAATCAATTATGTTCAGTCACACGTGCTATTTTCGGGTAGCCAGAGCTCACAATTTGACTGAAACCGACTCAAGTCAATATTTACCTACGGAAAAGTGGATCAAGTTGTTTTTCGCAGGGCGCTTACATTCTGAACTCAACTGAGCAAAACAGTCATTTAATGATCAGCTCTGAGGAATTAACTCCACGAAACAACATCGACCTTATTTTATTCCAGCTGTTATCCAGATAGCAATGGCCAGTACCGGACCGGATTAAGCTATATTTACTCGTAGCCACCA